CCCGCCGCGGGCTCGCTCACCTGCACCTGTTTGCGGAAGTGGCGCGGCCCCGGCGCTGCCGGCGGCCAGAGGCAGCAGCAGCAGCGGCAACGCCGGCAGCCCCAGCATCTCGCCCACGGCGCGGCCCCAGGGCCGGCTCTCGGGTCGTCAGTCCGTCCGTCAGTCGACCCGCCAGTCAGTCGGTCCTGCCTCCCTCAGCTGCCTCAGCGGCACCCGCGCCGGCTGCTCCTGAGCACACGCTGCTTCGGCCCAACCTCAGCCCGGCTCCTGGTCCGCACCCGCCGCTCCGGCCGCAGAAACACCATCCTTCCTGCCCGCCTGCGCCGCCGCCACCGCCTCAACAGCAGCAACGGCAGCAACCCTGCGGAGCCGCGGGCCAGGACAGCCGCGCTCCTACCGCCATGATGGGCTGCGTCATGTGACGTAGAACGGGGGCGGGACGCCGTGAGAGACGCCGCCGCCGGCCAATCGTATGTTCCACAGCGGCGCGGGAAACCCCGCCTATCGCCCTGGCGGAGGGAGAGATGGCTGCCGGGGCGCCCCCTGCAGACCGAGAAGTGCGTGGGCAGCAGGTAATACCGACAATTATTTTAAATTTAAAAATGCAGAAAAGTACCAAGAAGACAATAGAAATCACTCATCACCCATACTGAATTTTTTTCTAAGTATTTCATAATATGCAAAAATGGGACTGTTTTGTCTTCTGCCTTTTTCACTTGTCAGAGCCGTCTTAGGCTCTTCTGCTTACGTTGACCTACACATCCTCTCAGTGTTCGGCTTTGTATTTCAATTCCACAAGAACAGAATGCCTTTCCCCTAGTCACCCACTGATTCAAGTCCTTGGCTCTATCAAGAGTGCCCGTCCTGTCCTCTCTTGTCCACCAGGCAGACACCCTTTCCTTTCCTTTCTTAAGACACCTGAGCTCATGACTTCATCAAAGAACGCTCCTCCCCAGTCCCCAGGAGAAATTACTGGCGTCTCCTTTGTGCCCCTCCCCAGCCCTGTAGAGACTGCAATCCCAGCTGTCATATTTTCTTGTTCCTGTAACTGTAAACTCCCCGGAGGGCAGGAACTGTGTCCGATTCAGCTGGGGTCGGTGGAGATTGGCATAGGGCCAGGCACAGAGGAGTTGTGTGCTGTCGAGTGGGTTTCGGCTCATAGTGACCCTATAGGACAGAGTAGAACTGCCCCATAGGGTTTCGTAGGCTGTAATCTTTCCTGGAGCAGGTCACTAGGCCTTCCTCCAGTGGAGCTGCCAGGTGGGTTCCAACCACCAACATTTTGGTTAGCAGCCAAGCGCGTTAGCGTTGCTCCGTTCTAAAGGAAGGGAGCCTGGGCCTGGGCCTGGGTCTGGTTGCCAGGGAGATGCAGCTCCCAGGTGCCCTTCTTGCCAGGAGAGGCAGAGCCCCACAAAGAGGTGAGGAGGGGCTGCAGTCCTGCAGTCTGACCGAGATGAAAAGTTGGGAAGCTTTTTTTTTTTTCTTTCGCTTTGCAGAATAGGGGTTAAGGTACACATTCCTCAGAGGTGTCTCATGCAAACTTTTACACCGCCACCTCACCTCACTGCTCACACTGTTGCCCAGTGCTTCTCTTCCAGAGTTCAGGAGGAAGTAATATAGTGGTCAAAGCCCTGAGGGTTGGGACAGCGCCAGGTTTTTCTAGAGAAGCCCTTGTGGTCCAGTTTGTGTGCGTAAGCGGAGCTGGTTTGAATGTTACAGACAGGACTTATCCACCTGGTAACGGGAAGTTTCCCCAATTCTCCAAAATGCCCATCCTAAATGCCAGCTGTCCATGGTGCTAACCAAACGCTGAACCCACAGATGATGCCCAGGGAACATTTGAATGATTAGGGCAAGCCAGTAAACACCTAAGTAGACAAATAGCTAGAATGTGAAATGCTGAGTTAAAGTGTCTGTGGCTTTCTGCTGAAAGCTATTTGGGGAAGGGATGGAAAGCAAAGGTCTAGAAAAGAGACACAATCACCCTGTTGTGCTTCTACGTCTATCAGGAAGCTCTGTACTTTGAGTTTGAGGAAGCCAGGAAATATTCTGCTAGGTACCGGGAGGAGACTCTCTGTTTACTTGCAGCAGTGCTGGCCCGGACAAACGCCCTGCCTCATTATCCTCGTGGTTGTTGATCATGATTAAGGTGCACCCCAGCAACATGTCAGACCACAATCCCAAAACAAGTGTTGTTATTATCCAAGCAAGACCAAAAATTGGAAAGCCTTTCCACCGCCCACCCCAACTTCACAGAACAGGGGTTAAGGTACACATTCCTCAGGGGTATCTAATGGAAACCTTTACCCCACCGCCCCACATCACCACTTGTAACTTTGCCCAGTGCTTTCTCTTCAAGAGTTTCAGTTACAGAATTTATAAAACAAACAAAAGACCTCTTGCTTTGTTTAGTTTTACCTAGGAGTCAGAAAACAGCCCCTGGCACAATTTAGGATTAGATCCCGAAGATTAGAAACAATCTTCTTCAGCTTTCCTATGGCCCTTCTCACGTGTGCTCAGTCTTGTCCAATGCTTCCGTCATGTCAAGGCATTGCCTGGACCACACTTCTGGCAGTGTTTGTCCTGCCAGCAAGCTTTGGGTGAGGGCCGGATGCTGAGGGATCTGGAGGCATTTTATTCCTGTGTGAGCAGGCACTTCTGGAGATCTGGCACCCAGCAGGCACTTGAAAGGTTTGCAGAAATGAACTGAATCAAATGGGCGTATCCACAAGGGACTGCCAGTGGTGTGCTGGAGCTAGCTCGCATCAGCTCACATGAAAGTCAATTGTTAAATCTTCAGAAATTTTGCATGCCAGTTGTTAAACATAGCCATCCATTGTTATAGATCAAATCCTTTAAACTTATAATAAATCAATTAAAATAAATTAATCTAAAAACAATGGTAATGAGTAGAAGCACTTCCAGAATGGAGGAGTAAGGATCACTGAAACTCTACTCTTCCAAAACAGCAACAAGAACACTGGCAAAAAAATGTCAAAATCAACTATTTAAGAATTCTGGCCTCTCCACCTGACCACCACTATGCCATCATCATGGTCACCAGCCACGTGCAACCCATTAAGCTGGCCAGAGCCACCAAGGTGCTAGGCAGGACCGGCTCGCAGGGACAGCACATACAGGTGCACGTGGACTTCATGGACTACACAAGCCCCTTGATCATCTGCAACATGAAAGGCCCTATGCGCGAGGGCAAGTGCTCACTCTCTTGGAGTCAGAATGAGAGCCTCAGAGGCTGTGCTGAGGCTGCTGCCAGGTCCTGGATGTCTGGTAGATGACTTGGCCCATGGAGATGATCTGTGACTGTTCAATAAAGCATTTATATTGTATGTTTAAAAAAAAAAGAATTATTTAAATAGCCAAAGATTTGCAACAACACAGGAGGATTTATGCAAGAAAAAAAATGGCTGAATCTCAATAAGAACAGCAGGCTTTGAGGCATTTTACTTGCCCTATTCCCATTCTTCTCTGTGTCCATGGAAGACTTCAAAACCAGCAGCCTCACAACTATGGTAGCTGTAAAGCAAGCAGCCTAGTAACCACTGGAGGGGGCAGAACAGGTTTGGAGCCCCCTCCCAGCCCCCCCACAGAATTGTCACTATTTGACCTGTCTGTCGGATCCCTGGAAAAGCACCATTCTCAGAGCTTGTCTTTATTTGACCTTACTCAGTGCTCCCTCAATGCAAAAATCCCAGTTTGTAAAAAATGCTGTTATTGTTGGGTGCTCTCCAAGTCAGTTCCTCCTCATAGCAACCTCATGTGACAGAATAAAACTGCCCCATAGAGGTTTTTTGGCTGTAACCTTTACAGAAACAGATCATCAAGTCTTTCTCTAACGGAGCACCAACCTTTCAGTCAGCAGCCAAGTGCTTAACTGTATCACTAGCATTCCTTAAAAATATAATCAGTGGCAATTATTTAACATCATAGCTGCCTGAGCTAGAGATACCAATTGGCTGAACAAAAAATAATTGAAGAGGCTCATGGAACTTGAAGTAGGATAACTTCAAAGAGATCCACACCTAAACTTACATCAGAGACAAATAGTCAAAAAGACAAAGAAAATCTTGAAGGCAACAAGATAAAGCAACTCATCATGTATGAGAGAGCCTCAATAAGATTAACAACTGACTTCTCATAAAAAATTATGGAAGCCAGAAGGCAGTGGATGACATATTCAAAGTGCTAAAGAAACAGACCATCAAACACGGATTGTATATCCAGCAAAACTATCCTTCAAAAAAATGAAGGCAAAATTGAGACATTCCCAGATAAACAAAAATCGAGCAAATTTATTCCTAGCGGACGTGCCCATGAGAAATACTAAAGGGAGTCCTTCAGGCTGAAATGAAAGGTCACTAGACAGCAACTCAAATCTACACAGAGAAAGAAAAGCACCAGGAAAATAAACTACTTAGCTAAATATAATAGAAAGTATAAATGTATTTTGATTTGTAAGTTTTTTCTTATTGTATCTTATTTAAAAGACAACTACATAAAGCAGTAATTATAAAACTGTGTTGATGGGCTTATGATGTATAAAGATATAATTTGTATGACAATATTAGCACAAGAAAGGGAGGAGGGAAAAGAGCTATATTGAAGTAAAGTTTTTTTTATACTATAGAAATTAAGCTGTTATTAATCTGAACTAGATTGTTTTAAGGTATTACGTTAATTGAAATTCCCAGGACAACCACCAAGAATTTTGTTTTATTGTTAAAAACAGCAACAAGGAAATTAATATACACTAGGCTATATATCTATTTAACACAAAAGAAGGCAGTAATGGGGGAATAGAGGAATAAAAAGGACAAAAGACAAAATAAATAGCAAAATGACAAATATAAATCCTACCTTATCAATAATTACACTCAATGTAAATGGACGAAACACTATAATCAAAAGGCAGAGATTGGCAGAATGGATAGAAAAACATGATCCAACTATATACTGCCTACAAGAGATACACTTTAGATTTGAAGACACAAATAGGTTGAAAGTAAAATGATGGAAAGGAAATGCTATGCAAACTGCATCCAAAAGAGAGTTGGTGTGGTTATACTAATATCAGACAAAATAGAATTTAAAACAAAACAAAAACTTATTAGAGATAAAGAAGGACATTTGATAATGATAAAAGTGCCAACAACAAAGCCCCAAAATACATGAAGTAAAAACTGACAGAATTGAAGAGAGAAAAAGACAATTCAACAATAATAGTTGGAGACTTCAATACCCTACTTTCAATAATTGATAGAACAACTAGGCAGACGATCGACAAGGATATAGAAGGCTTGAACAACACTATAAACCAACTAGACCTAACAGACATATAAATAGAACACTTTATACAAAAATAGCGAATGCACATTCTTCTCAAATGT